CATCTCATAGGAATTTTAATTTTCACATCATACAATTCTCTCATAACCTAAGTCACACAGAGCGGTTGTGGGAGCGTGAGAGCATCACCCATTTAGAAGAATTATGTGATTTAGCTCATAAATTTTTTTTTCCCTCCCTTTTCAAGCTATTCGGAGTAACGTGAAACATAGACAAATTCAAAAAGATAAATATTCAAGCATATACAAGTAGTAAGAAAAACTGAACTGGATTCACAAATATGCATCCCAATGTGGCTAATCATAAAAGATTAAAAAAAAAATAAGCAAAAAAAAATAGTTTCGTATGATTTACATTCGAAAACAGAACTTCCAAAACATATAGAAGCGCCCAGCCAACCCAGTCTCTGCCTTGTGAGAAAAGGAAGAGACAATCTAAAGAAAAATACAAAGCAGATACAACCAAATTAGAAATAAAAAGTAAAACCAATTAGACATTCATTTGAGATAAGGGCATTAAAATTCCAATTGGAATGGAAGTTGTAAAAGAAAAGAGAAACCATACCAGCTAATCCAGTAACGTAATCACACAATTAATTATTGCAGATACGGCTCCTGCTATCAGAACCAGAACCTCTGGTTTGTTGAGATAGGCAAGGCGGCAGGGGAACTTTTTGACACTTTTCTGACAGTTTTTATAAGTGCCACCAGTCTGTTAATGCAGTTTCAGGTACACTCGCTCCTGCTGGTGCTAGTGGACCAAATGGGACAGAGAATGAGCAGTGGTTGTTGTTTCCTGATCCAGATGATACCCAAACTTGTGGAACGCAGAAAAGACATTCGTTGACTTGACTGTCAACCAGATTCCGTATTAATTTCTGACTTTGTCTTGCAATTGCACCTTCTAGTTGTGAATCTTTGTTCACTTCTAGCAATCGTATGAGCTGAGAGTGATCCTTGATTAGTTCCAAATGTGAGCCTGTTCAATTAACAAATACGACACTAATTGACATACATTTCCCCCTGATCTATGAGAACTATGTTGAAAAACAGTAAAAAAAGAAGTTGAGATTTTGGAACAAAATGAAGAAATTTTAAAAAAATCCAACTGAAATGGAAGTTCTAAAAGAAATGAGAAATAATACAAGCTAATCCAGTAACGTTATCACACCATTAATAATTGCAGATACGGCTCGTGCTATCAGAACCAGAACCTCTGGTTTGTTGAGATAGGCAGGGCGGCAGTGGAACTTGTCGACACTTTTCTGACAGTTTTTATAGGTGCCACCGGATTCTGTTAATGCAGTATCAGGAACACTCGCTCCTGGTGGTGATATTGGACCAAATGGGACAGAGAGTGGTGGTTGTTTCCTGATCCAGATGATCCCCAAACTTATGGAACGCAGGAAAGACTTTCGTTGACTTGACCGTCAACCAGATTCCGTATTAATTTGTGACTTTTTCTTGCTCGACTGCACCTTGTAGTTGTGAATCTTTGTTCACTTCTAGCAATCGTATGAGCTGAGAGTGATTCTTACACAGTTCCAAATGTGAGCCTGTTCAATTAACAAATATGACACCAACTGACTTACAGTTCCCTCTGATCTATGAGAACTAAGTTGAAAAGCAGTAAAACAAGAACTTGTGATTTAGGAACAAAATGGGGAAATTTTAAAAAATTTGTAATTACCTGGAAAAATTCATTAGAATGTATTTACAATTTTTTTTTTTTTGTTTTTAAAAAATTACTTGTAGGAAAGCAATGTATTTTATAGTAGAAAGAAGCACATCTTCCATTGTAACTAATAGGAACTTGGATTTAATTGGGAATTTTCTCAAAACATGGAAATATCTCACAGTATGAAGAAGAAAACTACAAGCCAGCTAAAAATCATATCAACAGTTAAGGAATGAGAAGTAACCTTTAGATTTTCTGTATATGGATATAGTTGCATGATAAGTAGCAAAGCACAATCTAAGAAATCTTTTCACCACCTTGATGAATCACGCAATCATATCGGCATTCCTCACTGTGCTCAAACGATGGGCAACAATAACTGCTGTTCTGTTGACCATAATCCTATATAATGGTTCTTGCACAATCCTCTCGGATTCACCATCAAGCACACTTGGTGCTTCATCTAGAAGTAGAATTCTTGTCCCTGTCAAACAGACAGCTGAATTCCGTGCTCACCCACCATGGTGAATAGTCCCTAAATTAAAATTTAAAATTCAAAAGCAAATTAAAATTTTCATGTTCATGTAAGTGAGGAATGATGAAAGCATAACAAAATGGAAAAAGAAAGAACCTGTGGAAGCTTATCAATGAATTTGGCAGCATTTGCAAGCTCAGATGCAGCTCTAATCTCCTCAATTGTTTCCCCATCCTTCCATACACAATATTATCCTCAATCATGGATGCGAACAACACAGGTTCTTGGTTGACGAAACCAATTTTCTCACAAATCCATTTAAGCTGGAACACTTTTAGATTAATTCAATCAATAAGTACCTTCACCAGTTTGTGGATCATAAAATTTATAAATAAGACGGATCACTATTGACTTCACGCTTCCACTATGTCCAACCAAAGCTGCAGTTGTGCCACTAGGGATGTAAGGAGAGAATGAACTGAATATTTGCTCATCTGGTACAGCTGGATAACTAAAATGGACATATCTTCGCTCTGTGTCCACAATAATGTCATCCAATATTTTTCTCTTCATGTCATATGCATCTATCTCTGGCTTCCTATATATAGTATCAAACATCTGGAATGCAACAACTTGATCAGCACCAAATTCACTCGTGAAGTGAGATGCCTGCCCTGAAGACCTGAAATATCCACATTGCAGCAAAAGGTTGTAAATATCTGATTTGTTTCCAATATGATAAACTCAAGCATAAGGTGAAAGTGTTCTCCTTCATGTGGCACCAAAACACTATAACTTCATTAGAAGCTACACAAAATGTAAAAAAAAACAAAAACTGTAACTTCATTTTAGCTCTTTTTTTTCTTCTTTTACATCTCATCCGAATTTTAATTTTTCAAATCTTACAATTCCCTCATATCTTTTTTATCCTTCCCTTTCCAAGCTCTTCAGAGTAACATGAAACATAGACAAAATTGAAAAAGATAAATATTCAAGAATATAACAGTAGTAAGAAAAACTGAACTGGATTCACAAATATGCATCCCAATGTGGCTAATCATAAAAGACATAAAAAAAATAAGAGGAAAAAAAACAGTTTCATACGATTTACCTTCGAAAACAAAAATTCTATGACATATGGAAGCACCCAGCCAAAGAAAAATACAAAGCAGATACAACCAAAATAGAAATAAGAAGTAAAACCAATTAGACATTCATTTGAGATATGGGCATTAAAAATCCAATTGGAAGGGAAGTTGTAAAAGAAATGAGAAACCATACCAACTAATCCAGTAATGTAATCCCACCATTAATAATTGCAGATACGGCTCCTGCCATCAGAACCAGAACCTCTGGTTTGTTGAGATAGGCAAGGCGGCAGTGGAACTTCTCGATGCTTTTCTGACAGTTTTTATAGGTGCCACCGGGTTCTGTTAATGCAGTTTCAGGAACACTCGCTCCTGCTGGTGCTAGTGCACCAAATGGGACAGACAGTGAGCGGTGATGGTGTTTCCTGATCCAGATGATCCCCAACTTGTGGAACGCAGGAAAGACATTCGTTGACTTGACTGTCAAGCAGATTCCATATTGATTTTTGACTTTGTCTTGCTCAACTGCACCTTGTAGGTGAATCTTTTTTCACTTCTAGCAATCGTATGAGCTGAGGGTGATCCTTGAGTAGTTCCAAATGTGAGCCTGTTTAACTAACAAATATGACATTTCCCTCTGATCTATGAGAACTATGGTGAAAAACAGTTAAAATGCGGAAATTTCGAAAATATTGTAATTTCCTGGAAATTTTCATTATAACATATATGCATTTTTTTTAATAAAATTACTTGTGGGAAAGCAATATATACTATAGTAGAAAGAAGCAAACCTTCCATTGTAACTAAAAAGAACTGGGATTTTATTGGGAATTTTATCAAAACATAGAAATATCACACAGTATGAATAAGAAAAACTACAAGCCAGTTAAAAATCATATCACTAGTTATGACATGAGTAGTAACTTTTAGATTTTCTGCATATGTGATTGAGTTGCATAATAATTGGCAAAGCATAACCTAAGATATCTTTTTCTACCACTTTTCCTTTGATGAATCACGGCAATCATACGGGCATTCCTCACCGTGCTCAAACAATGGGCAACAATAACTGTTGTTCTGTGACCATAATCCTATTAATGAGCAAGCATAAATTCATATTTAATTGGTCTGTTGATGTGTTATTAAAATGATAGAGGTCAAACATTTTAAAACAAAAGAAGGTTGCCTGTAGCATTTTAATAAATGTACAGTAATATAGCTTGGTCAGACAAACCAAACCAAAACCATCAAGTTCTAAAAAGCCCAAAATGGTAGGGGAATGATGAGTAAAATTTATGAGAAGACTGGAATAGCATGACAGTAATTGCCATCTGCACCTTATACTCTGGAAAGAGACAGAAGTGAACAGAACATGCTCCTCCTTCGGAAAATGCCATTTGTAATCAACGATGCCTTACAAAAGCCACTAAGGTGGATTCTACAATAACTATTACTATCTTACAATGTATTCTGCATTCAGGTTTTAATTGAGGATATGCATACTCGTAAAAGGCATTACTATTGCACCAAGCAATCCGCCCTAGCTATGCATATTCATGTGGAGGCAAATAAGTGTGAGAGAAAAAGAATCTTAAAAGTTTACCAAGGGGTTAAGGAGCCGAGTTCAAGGTTCAAGACACAGTTTGCTAAACAAGAATTTCAAATATCCCTGCAAAATGTTGTGCGGCTGATGAACAAATCTCTGATTATGCCGTGCCTGATCTTGAACCATTTTCTGCACTTGCAAATAGAAAACCACCACCATTTTGGTCTCACAGAAGATTTGGATTTCTGCTATTGCCTAATATTCTTGTGTGCTGTTTTCTTGCTCCAATCTCAAGGCAGTCTCCAAGTTCCTTCTTAACCACATCACATGGCTGATAAGGTGATGGGGTCTAAGCACAATCATATGGCTTTCACGCAGAGCATCTCTGGCTTCGGCACCTTTTCCTGGAGTGGCCTGCTGTGCATTCTTTCCTGGAGGTATATTCCCTTGGTCTCTCTTAGTTTCATCACGCAAAGCTGGCCCCCAATCACATAGCTTGAGATATAAAGCAGCAGCAGATTCCTGGTTAAATCTGTAAAAAGAGTTTGCACCTGAGCTGAAGCTCCCCTTTAAGTCAATATCATAGCACTCCTGAGACTATAGGCTTGAAACTGAATCAAGATGGTGCCGAACTAGCTGCTTGCAGTGTTTCGCAAGTTCCTCTATATAGAACAGTTAAGAGTGTCATAAAGCAGCATGGAGACCCACATACCCATCAATATCTCCATTATTTCTTCCATCTGCAGGAAAAAAATATATATTTAATATTTATTGACAGCAAATGTTTTAACTAGTTTTGAGTAAAAAGGTGCAATTTGCTAAATGCAACCAAAAAACAAAAGAAAGAAAACATTAAAAAAGATAAATTTTATAGGGGTGTGTTTTTTTTTCTTTGTATTGCTTTGCTCATGTCTCGATTCCCCATAACAAATATATATTATTACTATAAATCTATCTTAGGATCTTGAGACATGGAGACCATAAGAAAGAAAAGCACCAGTCAAAGTTTTTGCTTCGCTACAACATGCAACACCGTGACAATATAAGACCTACTACAACTCAAAAAGCTTTTATAGAAAATATTGTTAAACCGGCAGTAACTGATACTCATGAAGGAGCAATTGTCATTAAAAAAAATAAGTGACTAAGAATTACTTAATTTAGTTGAAAATTGATGAACATTATTCTGTTAGCAATAAAATTTATTACAAGGGAACTAACAGTAAAAAAACATTTTCTGTTAGTAATATTATTTCTATATCCAGTGAATACCATGCTAAAGGAAAATCTTATGTAGTCTAATGTTATTATTTAAGACTTTCTAATCCAAGGGGAAGCATACTGTCAATTAAGAGTAAAAGCATACAAGGAATAGTTACAGTCTGAGCCGCAGTGGTGATTTCTTTCAACAGCTAGATCAAAAAGGTTCCCCGACATAAAATCTAGCCGATCACATAAAGTGTCAAGAAGGGGAGCAAGCCATGGCTGTGCAACAGCATCTGCAATCTCTGCAGCTGCTTCAGAAACTCCTCTCCCTCCACCTCGACCAGCATGGGCAAGTAGCATATTTGCCATCTGTCACAATTTATCAAAATAAAAAAATGCTCTGATCTCCAATTTGTTGCATTCAAATCAGATTCCGCCTGATTGTATTTGATTGTATTCAATCGGTAGAACCAAATCAAAATAGGGTGGATAAACGGAACTTCATGATTGCTTTTACAAAAAATCTTTATACTAGAGGACATCCCATAGAGTGTGGCGCAGCGAAAATAAAAGCATCACACTTTCAAAAAGCACCTTCCACATAGAGTTGAAGGTGGCATTGGGAGGTTTAATATTTGTTGTAACGCCAGGCCAGCTTCCAATCCCACTCTCCGACTACTCCTCTTCTGTTGTCTTCCCCATTGCTCAGGGGAAGGATCTGCTGCTCTGTCAATCAATGTTCCCTTCAGTAATCAGAAAAAGAAATAGCTCAAAAAAAAAATTATCCAGTGCACCCTAATAATGTACGATGCTGTGAAGGGTAGACTGGTCTCACCTCTTCAGTAATCAGAAAAAGCAAAGACAAAATATTTGGCATTATTTGCACAAAGTGGCTATCCCTAGACTCGAATATTTGTTCTTAGACTTGCTTTCTGGAGCAACCATGTGTTTATTGATTTACACTCTCAAAATGACATGTTTTACAAGAGAATTTGGAGTTCAACAACTCAATATTACCTATCCCTTGAACAGCAAAGTTAGGTATATTTATGAGGCTCATAATTAAAATAGTAAATTGTCTACTATTACCCACCACATGGTTGCAGATAGAAGCAGCATGCAGCATTGCATATCTTCGAAGATATGCAACATCAGAATTGGCCTCTATTTTAAAGTCCATTCTGGCTAGTTCAACAGTGACTTTGTTGCAATGTTGTTCAAGCAGAGCCAGAGTTGCTGTTGCAGCTTCTTTATATCGCTTCTGAAGCTCAAACTCCAAATAATCTCTGAGACAGCCAAAACCAAGGTGAGACCCGAACATTTCTTCATCAAATCCCCCCTTAACACCCTTACATAGGTGATGTAATATTTCAGTGTCCACCTGAGATATTGGCCTGCAGAATTCATCATTTAAAATTGTGCTCCTGTCCTTTGGCAAGGCCACAAAAAAATGGCGGAGTAGGTAACCGTTTGCACTCAATTATCGATACACTTCCCATTGGTCACTAAACTCCTGAACAATACAGAAATATTCAAATTCAATATGTTCACTAGGACCAACTGCATTGTGACAGACCATGGAAACAAAAATTCTTTCATTATGCCATCAACTACAAAAATTTATTCCAGTTGTTCAGAAAACCTACCAAAGCAACCCAGAACAATTTATTTCCGTATTGTTGGAGTAGCAACAACATCTTTAGTAGTATATATGTGATATCCTAAGATTTTATTAGGCCTTTTAATTGTGTTTAGTGACTCTTAATCATGCTTAGTGATTCTTAATCGAGCTTAGTGACTCTTAATTGAGCTTATTGACTCTTAATCGTGTTTAGGGAGTTAATTGATTTTATTGGGGCATTAGTGTGATTAACTTTTTTGTGATGGACAGTTTCGGAATCCAAGTAGCAGCTTCCTAGAACCTCATCACACCTGTTTATACAACCCATAGAACACGTTTTGTTCCCAGCAGTTACACCTGTAGCTGCCTTCTCTTCTATTACATGCACACTTGAACCAAGACAAAGAAAAGAAAACATAGAGAAGGAGCAAGAGAGCTCCACCAGTGAGGGTTTAGTGAGAGAAAGAAGAATGAGAGGAATAGGGGCTGAATTGTAGAATTCATCACCATCTCATCTCCATCTTCATGTTGTCAGTCATGGGTAGGGTTCTCTATAGCTTGAGTTGCTTGGAGTGTTTTTATTCCTAAATTCCTTGGTTGAGCCATGACACAATCTATTTTTAATTGTTACATATGTTTTGGCCAAACTGATATTGATCTATATTGAAATCATCTTGATCCTCTGCTTTGTTCTTGAGCTTTTTGTCTCAGTGTTTTTCAACATCTATCTTCTATATTTATAGATGTTTTTATATATTCTCTGTAAAGCTTATTCTCGTGTGTGTTAAACCCTCTTGGAGACTCTTGATATGGTTTTTCCTACTGGGCTGCTAGCTCACCCTATCATTTTCAGGTGCCAAGGAGCAAGCGGAGGGATTTGGGAGTCGAAAATTAATTGTCAAGTCAGTTTGGAACAAGTGCAGGCTTTCCTCTGATGGTGATGTGTGGCATAAGAACGTGTGGAGGTATTGCAGGCCTAGAGCCTCTATGACTACTGCTCTTGTTTTTCAGTCTGCAATTCCTAATTATGGGAATCTACAGAAAAGTGGGCTGTGTATTCATACATCTATTTGGATGCAGTGCTATGGGACTGTATTCAGCTACTTCAATTGCAGGATTTGCATTCCATCTTCCCATGAATTGTGTCTACAGTTATTTTATGTTCTTCTTTGTGATGTTCTTGCCTAGCCTTTTATTTGATTTGGTGCTGTATTGGAAATGGGTATACGCATTTATTTTTCATTGAAAAGTTGGTAAAGAAATCAGATGCAGAAGCAGAGGCAGTATATAGGCTATACATAAGTGATATCTAATTACAGCCTAAAGAGGGGAAGAAACCCTTACATTTCTAGGGCCGCCTGTTCTTCATCCGGTACCCACCACCTACCGCCGGCCACACACCCAGAGCTCCGTTTGATTGATCGATCTTCCTGACTTCTCCATCATCTGCGGCAGCGGTGGTATTGGGTCTCACAGTCACCGTCGCACTCCCCAACGAGAACCTCTCCTCCGCCGCCGCCAACAATTCATTCACCACAAATGGGTCCAAGCCAACATCGTCGCCTACCAACCCTCCACCCAAATCGAAGCCATTGCCCTCGGCGACGGCATCTTCGTTAACCTCGCGATTCTCAACCTTTTTCTCGTCAACGACCTAGCTCAAGAACAGACCCACTTCTTGCTTCTTACCCGGTGAGAGAGATACAGTATTAGAGAGAGAATGAGAAAAAGAAAGAGAGGAGAGAGAATAGATGAGAGATATAGAGATGGAAGTGGTTTGTGAATACGGGTCTTGGTTGGTCTGGTGCTGAAGGGAAAGAATTGGTAGAACGAGAGAAGAGAGGAAGAGAGGAAAAGAGAACTTGAAATTTGAAATTTCTGCCGTTAGCAGCAGAAGTTGAAATTTGAAATGTCTGCCGTTAGCAGCAAAACCCATACATACAAGTTAGCAGTTGCAGAGAGAGAGGGGGGCAAGCTTGAGAGTTGAGAGACAGCGGCTGAGGCTTGCGAACGGCGAACGGAACAGCGGGCTATGGAAACTGAAAGATTTTTTTTTTTTTTTTTTTTTTTTTTTGATAACTAATATAGGTAATAGGTTTTGAACTTTTGATTCTTGTAGATTTTGTAGTTTGCAGTTGCACAGAGAGAGAGAGATAGAGGGGGGGAGGGGAAGTGCAGAGTTGAGAACGAGAATATAAATAGATGGGGCCGATATTTTTTTTTCCTGGTGGCCCATCATCCATGAGCCTATAAATTTTGGGGCCCAATAAATAATTGTTTCTGCATTCTATTTTGTGAGAAGTTTATACAATTTATCACCAAAATAATTGTTTCTCCATTCTATTTGTGAGAAGTATATATAATTTATTACTGAAATAATTGTTTCATATTTTTGATATATTTGTCCCATAAATATTATGCAGTGCTCCAGTTCATCTTTTTGTTCGTCTTTTATTGGTAATTTTTAATGTAACTCATTTATATTAAAATAGTAATATTTCTCTTGCCTATCTAACATACATTTCTTTTGCCTATCTAGCATATAAGTTAAAGATATAACATGAATTCAAAAAAACAATAATGTTTTTATCAAATTATTATTTATTTTTATATTACATAGTTAAATCTATAAATTTATCTTTTAAAAGATAAAATGGTATAATAATAAATTTATTAAAATAGTTTTTTTTTTTTTTTTTTGGCCCAAATATGATTATTATCATTTCCTTTCTTTTCCTTTATAATCAACCAAACATGATAGGGGGTTAAAATTATCTTCTATTTTCTTCAATTTCCTTTCCCTCATAACTAATGGTATTCTTTTTTTTCTTTCCCACCGTACCAAACATAGCCTTAGAGTTTGCTTTGCTTGTATTGCTAACCAAGCTTTTCCTTCTTACACTTGAACTTATGCCTTTCTAGTTGCTCGTCGTCATCCTCCATGGAGTAAGAAGATACATCATATTTTTTTCCAAATAACATTTAAAGATATATTATATCAATAAAAATAAATATACTCCATGTAAATATTTATAAATATTTGAAAACATTGTAAAGTTGCTCTTTCGTCCTCTCTTAAATTTAAAAACCAATTGCCAAAGCTTGTAAAAGACATAATTTTTAAGAAATTATTTTGAAATTATTGTTGACATTACATCGATAATTTTAATCATCTTTTAATCATCTTTTTGCTAACAAAATAATTAAGTATTGAAAAGTTGTTTGATCATCTTTGATACAAAAAAATAATAATAAATACTAGTCATGATACTTTATTCGATGATTTCAGAGGATAACAAATAGGTAAGATAATCGGTAGCAACTATTTAAACTCGATGAAAATGATCTTTAATTGGCACCTCCTGTTGACATTATAAATGTCGAATGATCATGATCTCTACTGCAAACTTATCATTCTTCGTCGAATTAATCTGTCCTATGTGAACTGAAGGTTAAGTCAATTGTTTAAGCATTGATAGGAAGACTAAATACATGTAACTTTTAAGATACGTGAACGTCCATAGTCTTTCTTTACCACTAACCGAGATGATGTCTTTGGTATTCACTATGGTATTATTTTTGTTGGTCTATGTCCTAAGGTTTGCATCTTTAATATCAAAATCAAATATTGTAAGTGCAATCCTATATTTGTTTGTTGTGGTTTTGATATTAGTTCACAAATAGATATTATACTTCCTCTCTTCCAAAATTTGTGTCCATCTTTCTATTTTGAGATGTCCCAAAATACATGTCACATTTAAAAATATATGTATTATTTTTAATAACATTACCAAATTATCATTTTGACATTGATTTGATTAAAAAAGTGCAAATTACGGAGTACTCATTTATCTTTTAATAAGGGTAAATTTAAAATCTCATTCTTATCTTTATAATTTATAAAGTACTAAAAACCTACTAGCACAAAAAGTAGAATTTCCCAAACACTCATAGAATTTGGGACTATCTCTAACATATTTACACTAACAATCATAACAAGGACATAGTAGTTATATCTCTTGTGCATAATAGAGGTTAATCCTTATTGGAGGGAAATTGATATGTTGATCCTAAGGGTGCACATGATTCGGTTTGTACCGTTTTAAGAGTTCTTTTTGAACCAAACCAATTCTAATAAATTCATAAAATTTGGAACAAACTGAACCATTTGACCAAAGGAACCAAACCAAACCAAATCGTGAAAAATTGGTTTGGTTCGGCACGATTCGATTCCAGGTTTCTTTTCTTTTTTTTCTTTCTTTTTTTCTTTCTTATTAGTTGTTACCGAAGTATTCATATTTCAAAATTCACATGCACAACTATAAAACCAAGTTACCAACACATTCAGAAATATTAATATATTAAGAACTTTTAATTCATTATTCTCTATCACTTCTAAAACTAAAGTGAAAAAATTTAGAATTACTAATAACTTAATACATTTAAAATTACTAATTCGACAACAAACAATTGAGTGCAATTCAAAATTCAGCCACTATAAAAAAAAAAAAAAATTAAATAAATAAAATAGAAGAATAATCTAATAAATTGATAAGACCTAAAAGAATTAAGAGTGGACCATAGGTTGGTAGTTGCTACAAAATTCTAAGTGATTTAGATTGTAGAATTATATTATATTATATTATATTATATATACTATATAATTTAACATATATATATATATATATATATATATATATATATATATCATAACAGTTCAGTTCGGTCTAGTTCGGTCTTAAAGGACCTTAAATCGTGATCAAACCGTATCTTTACGGTTTCACAAATTTAGAACGATAACCAAACCAAACCATTAACAAATCAAATCAAACTGTTCGGTCCGATTTGGATTTTTGGTTTGGTCAAATTTTTATGCACCCCTAGTTGATCCAATAGCTAAAATTTGTCTTCAAGTCAAGTGGGTCTCAAACGGGTCCATGCTTTTACTGAAATTGTTAGAGATTATTATTTATTTATTTGTTATAGTTATTTATTATTACCAGTAAAATAGTATGTGCATTGGACGTGAGTAGAATCTAATTTAAAATTAATGTTCATCAAAATAATTAAATAATTATTTTCTCCAATGGTAATTAAAATAATTTTTTTAAATAATCACATTAATATATTAATTAAGATAAACAGATTACAAGATTAAACAATGATAACAATTTACTAAATCTTTACAATAATAAATTAGAAAATTATTCTATAAAATATAATTAACAAAACTCTAAAATGACCAATGAACATAAAATTAACATAATGTAAAAGAGATAAAAAATAATATTTATTAATTAAATATTTCAATAGGAATTCAATTAGTGATAGATGTATTTTTAAACTCCTAAAATAATATCAAAATCAAGACTATTTATCGTGATTTAGATAATTATAATTGCACCAATTTAATTAAGTAATAAAATTGTATATTAAAAGAACATATCACGATGCTTTTGAAAACAATAAAAAAAAAACTGAAGAAAAAATTAAAACTTTTACATATCAAAAATTTTCAACTACAAGTTCAATTCAAAAT